TTTTTATTTTTATTTATGTGTGTGTGTGTGTGTGGCCAGCTCAGCCCACCAGGGGGCGGGCTGGCTGGCATGTGGTGCTGGGGATTGAACCATGGTACCTGTGCTTTGCTAAGCTTGTTCTAAGTAGGTGCTTTAGACCACTGAGCCATCTCACCAGCCCCAATTTCCCAGTATCTTAAGTTACTTTTCTATCATTGCTGAGGCAAAATACATCACAGTTCGTGGAGGTTTCAGTCCATACTCAGCTGGCTGGAAGCCAAGGTGGCATCACGGGAGAAACAGCCCATGTGTGGCAAAGGGCGACAAAACAAGCAAGGGACCATAACAGTATCTCTCTTCCTGTCCAGACTGCTTAGGGCGGGCAGCACTCACACCCTTAGTCCTGTGCCCCTGAACCTAGCAGTGCACTAAGAATCAATCCCAGCATCACAAAGCCTAGCTGAGTCACCTCAGGAAAAGCCCATCTGACTGCATGAGGCTTTGAAGGACATCCAGATGCAAGCCTACACCTAGGCTGACCTTGAACCTGTAATCTTTGCACCTCAGTCTCCCCAACGAGCTGAAATTATAAGCATAGGCCCAGCCAGGTAGCTCAGCGGATTAAAGCGCCTGCTTAGGCACACGCAGTGACTGGGGTTCGGTCCCTGGCTTCCTATGCTGGCCCTGCCCCCAGGGCACACTAAGCTGGGAAATGAGACTGGGCATGGTGGCACGTGCCTATAATCCCAGCACAATAAAAAAAAAAAAAAATTGCAAAATCTGAAATTAAAAGCATGCACCATTGTGCCGGCTTATATTTTAGATTTTATAGTTCAAATCAAGCTAGGTATTGCACACGCCTACTATACCAACTGTGTGGGAGGCTGAGGCAGGAAGATTCTATGTTCAAAGCCAGCCCAGGCAATTTAATGAGACTTGGCCTCAAGATCAAAGAAGCTGGGGTGTAGCTCAGTGGTGCGTGCCGAGTAGGGGTAAGGCTCTGGGGTCTATCTCCAGCACCTTGAGAAACAGCAAACAGAAAACCACACCATTTTTCTGTATTCATGTGAATATATATATTTAATGGTTTTCATTACCTTTTTGTTGTTTTTATTAAAAATGGAAGCATAATTGGCAACCTGTCTACACAGCTGTTCTTTTAAAACTCAGTGTCATATACTGACATCCTTCCTAGATGGGGCTACACAGATCATACAAAATCTTTTTTTTTTTTTTTTTTGGTGGAACTGGGGATTGAACTCAGGCCCTTCTGCTTGCCAGGGAAGTGCTTATTCCACTGAGCCATCTCCCCGGCCCCCATACAAAATCTTAACAATAGTATTCTTTCAGAAAACTGTATGTTCTGTGATGATATAAAGTCCCTGTGAAATTTTTTAAAAAGTCCTTGTGGTTATATAAGCTTATGAGGGAGCTGGGGATTTAGCTTAGTGTTGCAGTAACTGCCTGGCAAGCAGGAGGTCCTGAGTTTGATTCCTAGTATAAGAGGACTAGGGATATAGGGTGGTGGTAGAGCTCTTGCCTTGCATGCACCTGGGTTTGGTCCCCAGCACCACCCAAAGGGAAAAAAAGGCTTTAGGATGGAGGTGCACACCTGTAATGCCAGATCCTGGGGGCCTGAGACAGGAGGACGGCAAGCTTGACACCAGACAGGGAGATCCTGTCTCAAAATTTTATAAAAGGGCCAGGGATGTACATCTTCACGAAGGCCTTGAATTCAACAGTGTTTGTACCAGCACTACTAAAAACAGCCCCTTATTATCCTCAATACCTAATGGGCAACAGATCTTAATAGCAGAAAAATAAAATTCTCCTATGGAACACAGCAAGGGGAAAGGGAAAAGTGCTCTGTAAATAACAAATGGAATAAAAACATACATAAACACAAAACATATCAATATTTTCTCTGTGTGTGCAGCACTTGGGTCAGAACCCAGGCCCCTCAGACACTGGTAAGCACTCTACCACTGAGCTACATTCCCAGCTCACCCTGTCTTGACCCTGAAAGTAGACGCCTGGCTGGTGTCGCTGGGTGCTACACGTGCAGTGCGCAGGCAGGCTGGGCAGGCACACTCACAGCTGCTGTTCCTTCTGCGTGATCCGCTGCTGCAGGCCGGCCGACTTGCTCAGACACTCCTGCAGGTACTTCTCGTCGCCGCCTTCCACTTCCATGTGCGCCCTCTCTGCTTGCTGCAATCTGGTGTAATTCAAATCAACTTTGGGTAAAACTGAGGCTAGAACTAGGGTGTAAAGGGGTGAAGAAGACAAATAAAAGAAAAATGGGGAAATAGAAACATTTCTAAATGAAAACAAAGTTTGGGGGGAAAACTCACAAACTTAAATGTGAAAGAGCCACACAATGTCTAGAAATTTTTTTGTGATTTTTTCAACACACATAATATGCCCAGAATTCTATCTTCAGATTTGTTTATTTCTTGCTCATGATTTAACAGTGCAAAGCAATAGGCTTTACAATTATCTGGAGCATAGTGAACAAACTAAATATAATAGCTATGTTACTGCCTTCCGAAACCTGTGAAAAGCATAGTGTGTGTTTAACTAGGCCAAGAGGCCACCTGGTATTTGTTATTCAAAGATGTGTAAGCCAGGGGTCCGGAGGGCTGTGGGAGAGCAGAGGTCTCCAGTCACTCAACAGCAGCTTCCTTCCTACCACACCGTTGGGATTTGCTAGCTCTGGCTCTGGCTCTCTCTCTCTCTCTCTCTCTCTCTCTCTCTCTCTCTCTCTCTAGATGTGTGTGTATGTATAGATATTTTTTAACATTCAAAAAAGAATTTGGTGCTATTCAGCATCATTTTTAGAGGGTTTTTTAAAACATTACATATAAAAAATTAGCTTAAACATGTGATTTTCACTATTTCTGTTTTTATTAGCAAGTTATTGCTTGTCCCAGGGCTTAACTCCACTCTCTGCCTCCACTGGCCATCAATATTTCTGACACTTCAGTTTAATATTTTATAAGATATTTCCCAATATTCAAGAGACACCAATTCCTTGGAGGAATCTCAAGGGACATTTCTGTCTGGCTAGCCAAAAGTCCTTCCTCTTCCTTTCTGGTTAAAAATCAAACCCAGGAGGCAACCCTCACATATTTGATGAGCATAAATGTTTTCAAAGAAAGGATTTAAGTGACTTAAATGATCCCCAAGTTTAAATTTAAAATTGAAACGTTAAGGCAGTGGGGGTGGACCCAAGCTTGTCTTCTAAGGTCACAGAAAGTAAAATAAGGAGTGAGGTAGGCCTTAAGGTCATGCTCTCCCAGAGGAGGGAAAGGGAACTGGGAAGTGAGGGCCTGAAGCACAGGATGGGGCCAATTTGCGTCAAACTATTTGAAAACATTAAAAATACCTACGAGGGAGTTCCTAGGCAAAGCACAGGCTATAAGGGGGCCAGGGGAATGTGTGGCAACATATGTGAAACCAATGGATAATTTATTTGTAAACAATAATAATTTTTATATTTTCCATAAAAGAGTAGCTGAAAAGACAGAACTGCATTTGGAAAGTGGACCTCTAAATGGCCACTGCTGCTCTCAGCCCTGGGAGCAAGCTGTGAGGAATGTGTTTTGGGAAACCCAAGTGCAGCTGGGCCTGCCACAGTGTGTGTGCGCCTGGGCAGCCTGCCGAGAACCCTGCCCGGCTCCTGCGTCAGTTCTCTCTGATCTCCCGGCAAAGTGTGGGTTTCCCTGTAGCCTGCTCAGATGCAAGCAGTTTTCAGAAAGAGATATCCTTGACCAACTTGTACTGGTCCTGAGTGTCGCTGCTAGCACACTTCACCAATGACATTGCAATCGTCCTAGTTTGAGTTAACAAATCATTGTCACTTCATGATGGAATGATGGAAATCAAAGACAGAAAAAGGTAATAAAGATGTCCAAAATGTAAAAATGGGGATAAAGAAAACAAAAAAGAAAAAAGAAGAAAGAGGATGTCAATAAAAGAATATTCATGTCAATAAAGCATTAATAGTTATGTTTTTCATAGGTAGATTCAAAGAAAGCAATGGGAAGACACATGTTGACATCAACATGACAGGGCAATGGAATACATTACACTTTCCAACGATAAATGTGAAAAATGCCAATATAAAACAATTCAATTTAAACAAAATTGTATCCTGGATTGGCTGAGGAACCTTCTCAAAGAAAGCAAACTAAACTGCTTGTTCAGGATGCTTGTTTTCAGATTCAGAGATGATGAATGGCAAAGGATATGGCAATCAATACACATGAAGATCAATTAGGGATAAACCCACCATGTATCCTGTAAATGTATAATTTTTCCAGATTTTTGATAATTGTTTTGTTAAAGATTAAACCACAAGCAATTGGTGATATTAGGCATTTAAAAAAAAATCTGCAAGATGGTAACTTCAAATAAATCAGATTAATATAAAGCAATTGAAAATGCAATCACCTACGATTCTGCTCAGTTTAATCCTAGCTACAGTATCCAGGCAGCTCGGGTCTGCTTTGAACACTCCTAATTTTTTCAAAGTAAATGCTTTGGGTCAGTTTAAACAAAAAAATATCCTAAACTCTATCTTCCTAATGGTTTCTGTGGCAGGTGTCAGAGTTGAATAAAAAAGGAGGGGCGAAGGTAACAGAAAGAAACTCATACTGGCAGTGCTATACCTTTGTTCCAGCTGCTTCATGGCTGTCGTAATCTTATTGGTTTTTTCTTCTAGTCGGGAGATTATTTCATTTTTTTCTTTCAGGCCATCTTCAGAGCCCTATTTATAAAAAGGTAATAGTTTCAGTGGTTCTGATTTTTAAACCTGAATGTTTATAAGATTTTTTGCAATGGGAGTGTTCCTCTGAAATGAGCAGAATTTGTACATTAAAATAACTATGATATAGTGTTACTAGTCTTCATTTCAAAAATAATAAAAAGACTCCCTTTGTTTTGGGATACATGATAAATCCATGGAAAATATGTCATTTAGGTACCGGGGAGATGGCTCAGTAGAATAAGCGCTTGCCTGGCAAGCGCAAGGGTCTGAGTTCAATCCCCGGTTCCACAAGGAAAAAATAAATAAATAAATAAACTTATTTTAGAGCTAGCATGATAGCTCAGTGGACTACAGCGCCTGCTTAGGCAAATTTAGGCAAGCACAAGGACCACAATTTGATCCCTGTACCACATGCTGTGCCAGCCCTGCCCCCAGGGCAGGCTGAGGTGGCCAGAGTCTGGGCATAGTGGCACATACCTATAATCCCAGCCAGTGCTGGGGAGGCTGAAAGCAGGAGGATTACCATGAGTCCGAGCTGCATAGTGAGACCATGTAACAACCAAACGTTTTTTTAAAAAAAATTAAAAATTAAACTGTAAGGGCCGGCCAAAAAGCTCAGCAGATTAAAGTGCCTGCAAGCAGGTACAGCACCCAGGGGTTCAATTCCCAGGCCTGCCCTGCTGGCCCTGCCCCTGGGGCATGCTGAGATGGTGATTGAGACTGGGTGTGGTGGCGCACTTGCTACAATTCTCAATTTATATAAAAATAAATCAGACTAGGGGCATAACTCAGTGGAAATGCATTTGCTTAGCATACATGAAGTCCTGATTTCAATTTCTAGCAATGTGTCTTGGTTACATTTCTCTCGTTGCCACCCAAAATGAAGGAAGGAAAGGTTTATTTAGCTCACAGTTGGTGGGGTTTCAGTCCATAGTCAGCTAGCTCTAAGGCAGAGCAGCACCTGGCAGAGGGCAGCTGTTTGTGGAGGCAGAAGACAGCAGAGCCAAAAAGGGAGGAGCTGCAGCTGCTGTCGCTAGCAAGCCTCGCTCCCTTCTATTGTATTCAGACTACCTGCCCCAGGGTGGATGTTGCACTCACATCATAATCCCAGCACTGGATCCTGAATTAATCACAGACTCTAGAAGCCTGCCTCAGTGACTGTGAGGCTTTTGGGGGAACAATTAGACACAAACCATAACACAATGCAAAAAAAAAGAATGAAAAGAAACTGTTAGAACTTAAGACCTGGTGTGGTGGAACATGCTTGTACTCCTAACACTAAGAAGGCTGAGGAAGTAAGACCACCATGAGTTTGAGGTCAGCCTGACTACTCAGTGAGTTTAAAACCTGTACTGAGGGAGTACCTGTCTCAAAAAGGAAAAGAAGCACTGGGAATAGTCCCTACCTGCAGCTTCTGATACATCTCTATGTTGATGGCTCTGACCTCCTCCAGCTGCTGGCGGAGGCTGATGAGGGTGTCCTGCTTCTCGTGCACATCTTTCTCCAGCAGCTTCACGGCAAGCTCGATCTCGTGTTTCATGCTCACTTGTACTGCAAGCTCATTTTCTACGTCCTGCCAATTCAACACATCTTCAATTCTCAAACACTCGGGGTGAAAAGCAGATGGAAGACAGATTTCCTGCTACCCCGCTCCTTAGATCCACTAAGGATAACCAACCAGGCCTCCCACATTTTATATATTTTCAAATGTAGTTCTTGCTAAAAATGCATTTTTAACCTTTTATTTATTTGATACAGGGTCTCCCTGCACAGCTCAGATTCACAGTGATTCTCCTGTCTCAGCCTCCCCAGTGCTGGGATTACGGCTGTGCACCTCCACACCTAGTTCTGTTGGCCAGCTCAGAGTGGGGCCGGCACAGCATGTGGTACTGGGGATTGAACCCGGGTGCTTGTGCTTGCTAGACAGCCACTGAGACCACTGAGCTGTCTCCTTGGCCCCAAGAACGCATCTTTAGACTTTGCTAATCACCACTATCCTTATGATTCAAGAATTAAGTATTTTTATGCCTCATAAATTCAGGGTTTTTGTTTGTTTTTAGTATTTTAAGTAAAAGCAAATGAAGCAGCCTGCATAAGACCAAAAATAGAATTATTCTGTGAATATGTGTATGTATGGTACTAAGGATTGAACTCAGGGCCTTGTACTTGCCAGGCAGGCACTTAAACCACTGAGGTATCTCCCCGGCCCTCAAAACTATTCTGTTCTTAGAGAATTTTTATCATATTAAGAAGTTTCCTAATTTTAAAGACAAAAGGGGCACCAAGCCAGCAACTGTAGTAACCACAGTTTCTTGCTTTCTTTTTTTTTAACCACAATTTCAACTTCAACTCCTCAATGTTTCCCTTGGCCAAAAAATGCAATAGGTCATTTTCCAGTTCGAAACATTCAACAAATGGTAGCAAGGCAAAGCCACCAGAAATGTATGCCTGATTTCCAGAAATGTATGCCCGATTTCCATGACAAATACAATGATGCTACATTACTGGTGGAGCCACATTCTGTACTGCTGCAGAGACGTATACAGTCACACGAATTGGAATACAGTGGAACCTTTCCACTACTGGCGGTCACCCCCAAGGACTGGAGATCAGTAATCATGCCAGCTGAGATGATGCAGCTAAATTATTTCTAAATGAAATCCTGATGCCAAGTAAAAGCGTTGTGTATCCATTAAAATATGACCTACTGAAGAAATAAAGTACAACTGAAACTCTCAGAAAAAGACAAAAGGTATCTACATTATAATTAAGCTGCACACTTGTGTTTTTCTGTACATTTCACAACTTCAAAGCCTTAAAAAATAAGTTAACTTTAACTATGGTTTTACTAAGAATAAAATTTTAAATTGATGTGAATGTTTCACTTTATTCTCTTCTACTTCATGTGTTTGTAATGCTGTTTATAACTCCTTCTTACAACTATAGATTTTGTTTTGTTACTTCTTATCTCTTTGAAAAGGGGTTTTGCTATGCAGTTCAGGCTGACCTTCCACCCATTCTGTAGCCAGGCTGGCCTCAAACTCCACAGATCCTCCTGCCTCAGCCTCACCGCCATATCAGATCTCATTTTACAACCACAGATTGTAACTCTGTCTGTCTGTCTTCCTTCCTTCCTTTTTTCTTCTTTCCTTTCTGACAGAGTCTCATTATGTAGTCCAGTCCAGTCAGGCCTCAAACTCACAGTAATTCTCCTGCCTCATTCTCTTCCTGGGTGCTGGAATTACCTGTTTATTACATGTTTATGCCACCATGCTTGGCTCATAACTCAGAGTTTCAAAAACACTCATAAGGGGCCGGACAAATAGCTCAGTGGATTAAAGCACCTGCAAGCAAGTGCAGGGGCTGAGGGTTCGATCCCCAGGCCTGCCATGCCATCCCCACCCCCAGGTGCACAGAGATGGCAATTGAGACTGGGCATGGTGGCATGGGCCTAAGGCTATAAACAGGTAGATCACTACGAGCCCGATCTAGCAGTGAGACCCTGAATACCCTGTAGACCCTTCTCTAAAATACAAAGAAACAAAAACAAAAACACTCATAGGGTAGGACCTTAGCAACTGTGAGAACATGCAGGGAGTACATTTGCTGTCTCACATTTAAAAAGATAAGACTGGGGGCCGGGGAGATGGCTTGGTAGAATAAGAGCTTGTCTGATAAGCACAAGGGCCTGAGTTCAATCCCCAGTTCTGCAAAAAAAATAAAAAAATAAAAATAAAAAAATAAAAAGCCAAGACTGAATAAAGCAATTCTAGGGTTACGACCTGCCGTAACTGGGACTCATCCCGAAGCTGCCGCCTGGCATCACTGTACATCTCGTCCAGCCCCTGCCGAGAGCACTTGTATGTCTGCAGCTCAGTTTCCACATCCACTTTGGTGACCTAAGAGGAAAACATCCAGTATTCTATTTTATAGCTGCAAATACTGTCAATGCCTCACAGAAATGCGCAGACGCCTCTGGCCCAGGCTGGCCTAGCTGCCAGCGCTCACACTCACCTCTAGGTGCTGCTGTGTTTTCATTAAAATCAACTTATTTTCACTTCGCAATTGATGGTTTTCTTCTTGGAGCTTAATGATATTATTCTTTGCTATTGCTAACTAAAAATTATGAAACAGAGACAAAAAAAAAAAAGGAACATCTTTAATTATCCTTGTTTTACAGATTATGCTCATGGCTGTAAACAATATAAAACCTTACAACTTGCAAAATGTCTCTTACATTGCCAGAAACTTCCGTACTACAGATGGGCTCTCGATGGACCTTCTTTGTACTACTTCTAGTTCCTCTTATAGTCGAATCACGTTATACTTTGTTATTCTTAAACATATGATGCTTCCATCACATTTACATTATATCCTGAATATAAACTGCCTGGCTTAACATCTAAAAATTATGTGATAAACAATTCTGTAGAACTGCTGGATCTTCCACAAAGATACAAACGTGTTCAAGAAAGAAAGTTTCAGCCACGTGTGCTGGCACAGGCCTGTAACCCCAGCGCTTGAATGCAAAGGCAGGAAGATCGTTGAAAGTGCAAGGCCAGCCTGGGCTACAAAGCTGGGCTCAAAGCCAGCCTGAACTACACAGTAAGACACTGCTCAAAAAGAGAAAAAAGGGGCTGGGAAGATGGCTCAGTAGAATAAATGCTTGCCTGGCAAGCGCAAGGGCCTGAGTTCAATCCCTGGTTCCAC